CCCCCCCCGCTTTGCCTTATTAACCTAGTATAGAACTAGCCTGTATTTAAAGTGTGAAATGCATATACGCTACTGACTTGATAACTAAATATGCATCTTATTTTTTCCATCCCTGTTTCTACTGAAACTGGCAATATCACAGTCTTTGTAGCCCAGCCAGCTTGGGGGTCTCCGTAGAAAAAAAACATCAGTAAGAGAGGAGGAACTGCTCTAGTCCCCTCCAGATGCATCTTCCTCGAGTTTTTTAGTCTCTCCTAAACTCTGCCCGAATACCTCATTTCTGTTTGGAAATGCTGACTTCCCAAACAGCAGCATCCAGAAGAGCAAGTCAGTATACCAGAAGCGATGGATATCTTCTGTATAGACTTTGAGGTTGTACTTTTTTGAATGCTTTAGGTGTTCTCCTCCTTCCCTGGAATCCCCAGCTGCTGGGGCAGGAGTGAGAAAGAGAGGATGAGATGGGGAATGGATGTCAGAAGAGCATTGAGAGATAAGTATAGAGATCAGATTAGAGGGAGGGGAATGAAGAAGTTGGGGAGGCAGCACATCCCTTTAAATAATATCCAAGGGCTTTTTCAGGAGCCAGTGGAAGGGAAGGATCTGTATCTCTAATTTTATTCTGCCTGCTGTCTCCCTTTTTTAGTGTTGCCCTCAAAAGATTTTGTAAAGGAAAAATGAGGGGAGAAAGCAGGAATTAAGAGTATTTATTTAAGCTCTTATCTGTCCTCACTGTGATGACGACTTCAAATACTTTGTCTAGCATTCTGAGCTCTTGCTTGATGAAATATACTTTCTTTTTCTCTTTGCAATCATTTCACTTCTGCAGTGTGTCCAAAATTGGTTGTAAAAATGTTCATTTTGCTTGCCACACCGACCACATTCACCTCCTTTTCCATTTTTCTTCTCAGAGGTGATTGTTCTGGGGAGGAAATGGAGTTCTGTTCCTTTACAACACTTCACATAATCCATCTGGTTAAGTCTCTGTTACCTTCTCTTCTGCAATTCACTTAATTGTGTACTTTCTGTTGCATGCAGGACAAGCACCTAACAAACCATATCATGTGTAACTTCCATTCTGTGTTCTTGTTCTCTACCCCATGACTCTTTCAGGATCTAATGTCCTCAGTGCTGCCGTTTCTCCTCAAAAACGTATTTCTTGCAGAAAGCTTTTTTTCTCGTGTAAATGGAGGGACTTCTAGGCTTTTGTTTCACTCACAGCAAAGATTAAAAGTATGAAAGAGTGTGGGGTTTTAAACATGACTTTATCCTTTTTGGTATTCATAGAAATATCAGAACTTTGGGGAGGGAGGTGCGTTTAGCTTTATTGGCCACCAAAAAGGAGATCAGTATTGGCAGAATAGGTGACCCACAGGAAGTAAAAGAAGAAAATCCTCCTTTCCCTTATAACTAAGATTTTCTGAGGCTTTTAGATTGTTGAGGTAACCTTTCATTTAGGTGAAGAAAGGGTTGTCTTGTATTGCCAAGGCAAGAAAGTCATCTGAAATCCCATTACAAGAAAATTACACTGCAGTAGGTTCCCTCCAGGTGTATATGTATACAGTAAAATAAACCGCGTGCGGTTTGTGTGACCCTTCCATCTCTTCCACAGTGGTCGTACACTCACGTGGCTTGGTTACTGCAGTGAGTAGCCTGCAGCACCACGCCGCTTGTCGTGGACCAGATGCCTGAATACTTCACCAGTCCTGGTCCACGATGTTGGGAATGACTTGCCGCCACAGCAGCCTTGCAGTTGATGCTCAAGCCAGCTAGGTTGAACCGAGTTCAATTTGTCCTTGACCTGTAGCGTAGCTGCTGTCTTAGTGTCCCTTCACCACCGGTGGGCCTTAACTGTCTTCATTGCCTCTCTGGTTTAGATTTGTGCCATTCAGAGAGTATTTACTTAATAGCAGGCTAGCTGCTTTCCTCTAGTCTTCCAGTCATGGTAGATGATGCCTTCTGTCGTCTGTATTGCCCTCAGCCTTGGCCTTTGCCTCATCCTCTGATGCAATTGTTGTATTTACAGGTTGACAGATGACTTGGTTTATATTACTGTGAAATAATGGTGGATATTAATGAGAGCTGAAAACAGTAAGAACCAGCTCTTGAATAATGTGTGTGGATGAGATTAAACATTCTAGAGTGCAGTTTCTTGCAGTGACCTAGGACTTAAACCCACTATAAAGGTAGTTTACGTGACTGTTGAAACAGTAAGTCCGTGGAGAAAAAAGGAATAAGAAGGTTAATCAAACATCCTATCTAATAGGTTCATCTTTACGCAACACTAGACTGAACTGTTATCCTCTGAACAGCCCAGTCTAGTTGAAAATGAATACTGTTGTAAGAACATAGCTCTTTATTCTCTGATGAAGGTACTTTTTTAAAATACCTCCATCGTTATTTTGATGTATTTCACTTGATCTTGTATATAGTTATTGTTTGTTAATCTTTATTTTGGTTTAACTGTGCATGGTGTTCTCATTTATAGGGGCATGTAGCAAAAGTGTTTTCCCTAACTTCGCATGCTTAAACTAGTGTATTCTCTGCAGTGGTGTAAAGAAAACGGGTTTATCTAAAAACAGCGGTATTTGCCCAAGGCAGCAACTTTGGCATACCATGTTGTAGCAGCCAGTTAAAAATCTGGAATGCTGCTAATCTCTGAAAGTCCGTACCATGTGCCAGCTGTGAGGGGCCCTAAGCACAGTGAGATTCATGTTGGACTAGTGGACATTTATTTACTGCTTCCATGTTAGTTTTAATGATAAGCTATCTGTAGAAGACCTCACCAAGCCAAGGCTCAGACATGGTGACCAAGTATGGCTGAAAAGGCCAGGGCTGTCACTGCCTGTCTAACGGAAGATAGCAGGGAAGGACTGGCAAATCCCTCGGGCGCCTATGTTGTGCTTATAGGCAGTAGAGCCTCAAGAGCCGTTTAGCTGATCAAACGTAAGGTTGGGTTAAGCTGAATAGTTCTCCGTGTGTTGACTAAATCTCCATTATCTGTAATGGGAACCGAGACACTCAGCTGACATGGGGAGACACCTAGCTAAGTGCCTTATTCAGTGACCTCAATCCCACTGTGTGCTTCTGGGAGTTCTTCGGATCTTAAAATGCAAGTACAAGGGAAGACAGTACAAAGTTTCAATTTCTTTGTAAATAGGGCTTATGCGAACTAAAGAGCATGTAAATTTCAAATTCTGATTTCTCTTGAAAAAGCATTATGGTAAAAAGTTTACAATCTCATTATGCAAATTGTGGTTTAAACCTGAATCCAGATTCAGATTAACTGTATGAGCAGCCCCCTGCAAGTTTCAAAGTTTTAGTCCTAACCTTTAGACTGATTCCTATGCTATCTGATAGAAGTTATCTCTCTTTTACAAACAAGAAAATGTAAACATATACCTTCCTGTACCTGCCGGGGATAGTCTGTTTTGTACAATGTTGAAGGTTACAAACACAGTATAACAACTATTGTATAATGCCTTGCTGTTGAAAAACCATGCAATATCATCTAGTCTGCATATGATACAGCCTATTAAGCTTACAGACTTTCTCTGCGTTATAAACTTTACTGATTTATATTTTTAAGAATTCTCCATTAAAACTTGTCTAGGAAACAAACAATGTACATTGCCAAGAACTTTGAGGCATAATGAGATACTTCAGTTACGGATTAAATCCCTTATCCCTGGATGTTTTTCCAGTTTCATTTACATCTTGCTATTGCAAATCATTTTATTAAAATTACTGGGGGGGTGTGATTTTGCATGGATTAATTTGTCTGGCTGAGAACTAGCTGCAACACTGTATTTCCATGATTTAAAAAAAAACAAAAAAACCCAAAAAAACCCCTTAAAAATCTTTTTCTTAACTCTCCATTCCTTTCCAAACCAGTAGCTGATATACTTTTAATCAAGACAGAGTTGGCCTGGGAACTGATGGAAGGGTCTTTTGCTGTTACTATGTGAAGTATAGCCAGCACTGGACACCTAGTTCCTCCTTACCTCAAGCCAGATGAGGTTGACTCAGATCTTGAGTGAAGAGAGAACCTTGACTTCCATTGTCCAGCAATCCAGGTTCTGGCTGGAATTGAGAGACAAGGCTGGAGTCTCTCAGGTCTAGGCAGGGTTGGACGTGCCTCGTTGCTCTTTGCATGTAGAGAAGCCAGCTTTAAGGAGAAATGCCCTTTTTCTGTGAAAGGAACCATGACAAAAAGGCAGTACACCAGCTAAATGGCCTTCCTTAGCAGCAGCTGCTGCTGTTGGGGTAGACCAGTTACTTGCCACATACTGCATCTTGCAAATAGAAGGCAGCAAGCTTCTCGGGAATTGTCATATGAAGATTTCACGCCAAGTTGGTTTCTTGCTTGCCTTGTCACCTTTTGACACATCCTGTGGTATTCCCAGTTGATCTTCCAAGTTTATGGCCCTGAAAAAAGTCACATCTGGTATTGTGTGTGTCTAGGGGGAGGATTTCCTCTGACTGTAGGAAAAGTTGTTTTAACCTGAAATATTTTAAATGCTGTGTAATTTAATAGAGTGGAATTGAATTAATATGGTTATACAGGCCATCTCAGATTGGGGGGAACTTTAAAGAGAGAGAGATTCCCTTGCTGCTGCTGAAGGCCAGATAAGGTTCTGGCCAGAACTGCACTCAGGCTGACACCTGCACTGTACTGAATTTCCTCGGGAATTATTTGTGTACGCGCAGAAGAGCTTCGTACTGGTAAACAACATTTACTTAGGTTGAAGTTCAGGTTGTGATAAGAGCGCAGTACTGCAGATCCAGGCTGTATCGGTAGAGTCCCAGCGGTAGCCCTTTCTTCTACTAAGATTTATCTATTAATATTGAGCTCAAGCTGTTCATCTTAGGTGTGGAAGGACGCCGTAAATGGAGTAAGATTTACTGAGGTAAAAGGAAGCCTGGGAACAAAGGAAACTTAAAATAAGCTTAATTTAGAGGTTTTCAAATCTCAGCAAGAGAGATGTAAGCAGTTGTTCTGTAGGCATTTCTCATATCGGTAGAAGTAATGTTTTTATTACAGCATTTGCACCGGTACAGAAGTTTTAGTTTTAACTGTGCATTTTGCACATATGGGGGTTGGGAGGACCTGCAGGAATAAAATGAGAATGACAAGTACTAAATATTCGATATATATATTGAATGTGTATTATCAAAATAGTACAGGCCTTTCCACTTTGTTTCTCAAATTAAATTATAATACAGGATATAAGCTATTTAAATGTTTATTATGACAGAATGTGGTCTGTGGTCAGTCATGGTTTCAGACAATGTTGTTTACAATTCTGTTGTTCTTTAAACATCATCATGGGCTGCAGACCCCTGAGTTGAGGGCTCAGCCCTGAGATAGCCAAATGAG